CCTGCTGAAGAAAGAACGAGTACACATGTTTTTCAAAGTATACATCATCCTTACCTGCATTTCTTGGCAAAAGGAAGCAGTTGGCCCAAAAAGAATCTGACACTGTTCGTCTGCAGTGTACGTCATCCCCGGGAGTTTGGAGGGAATAATCACAGAATTGAGGCTCTGAGGATTTGTCTGTAGCAGACAGTTACTGGCCTTTGACCTGGCAATATGCAGAGGTTTATTTGTTGAGCAATCCTAAAGCATCTGATTGTCATGCTGCCACAAAACAGGCATTTGACATTAAAAAAAAAAAGGGAGAGGATGACAAATCCTAAGTTTTTTTTATTATTAGTCAGCATTGTGCTTTCATTCAAAGAAATGATTCCATATAAATTAATAGGTTTGCTTTCCTGATATAATTTAATGATGTGTCCTCATGTTCCACATTTACAAAAAGGCAGCAGTAAGATAAATTACAGGAAAATTCTGGAAAACATTTTCACATACATGTGACTTACTTAGTTTGTGACTTAGTGACTTACGGTTTGGATTTAAACAATTGTTTAAAAAGTAGACAGTTCCTTTTACACAGACATAGCTTACTTTCCACTTCTACCAAGGACTTAATCACTTTAAATTATATACATATATTTCTGAGCTAGTTGTCAGAAAATTTATTTTCATCAAAAGCTAAAGAACTTGAAAATAATTAAATCTGTCTTAGTACCAGATCAGGGAACTCTGAATGGACACATCTGATTTCTATTAACTATTTTAGTGTCATAAAGCAGACATTTTGAGGATTCCCAACTGTTACTGTAAAACTGTGAACAGGTAATGATTACTTTTATAGACTTATGCATTATGAAATACCCTATTTAGAGAAACAGAGTAAAAATTGTTTCTAAAACCTCCCATGGAAATGGTAGAAGAATGTAATTGCAGGATAGCTTTTGTAACTATGTGTAAAGGACAAACTGTACAAGTTATTTTTCTTGAATGAAGTACCTGAGAAATCTTTCCAGATCTTCCCTGCTGCACCGGGACCACGAAACATCACCAAGATTCTGCCCTTTAATCCACTCTCCAGACATGATGTGGAGACCATCTGCACAGGATGGGTGGTCATTGTCATGATTTATTCCCATGCTGAATTTCGAAGTTATTAAAAATAAAACAAAACAAAACAATACATATATATATATATATATATAAAGTTTTCAAACTGTTTGTAAGTCACAATTCCTGTAAGCAGCTAAGAAAAACTTATGTATGGTGCGTGTATGAAATTTCATTTATTTTTTTTTTCATAGTACTTCTCAAAAAAGTAGGTGACACCTTGCCAAAAAGACAGTTCTGTGTTTACTATCCAAAAGTGAAAGTGAAGCTTCATGCATTTGATTAGAAGCATTAATTTCCAATCATCTGCCTAATACACAATTGGAGACAACTACTGAATAATCAAACTCATACAAATACTGTGGTTTTCATGATCTACACTTCTCTTACAAAATAAAATCCATTGGAAACTTACGTAATAACATCCTAGAATCATTCTATATTTTGACAGCAATTCTTTCTTAATTCCATAAGGAAATGGTTTCTACAGTTTTACAGGATGCTAAATTGTTTACTAGTTTGATGTGTGATTATCAGATCTAAGAATCATTTAATAGTTTTTAATGTGAACTGTTAAAAAAAGCACTGATGAAGCAATGCAATGAATCTTGATTTTAAAGCCTCAAAATCCACATAATCCCACTGAATTCTCACATACAGCAATGCATTAAAAAATTCTGCTAAAAGTCTACCTTAAAAGCTACTTTAGCATGCTTTAGCTGCATGCTTGACAGGCATATGAGGAATAAATAAAAGACTCTCTGATGTTTTTGAAGATTTATAAATGAGTATGGGGACACTTTCCAGAGCCTTGCATTCAAAGTGGTGCTTAATTTTGTAAGTACAGCCTGCCCTGTAGGAAGCAAAACTTCCCACTGAATCACCTACAAGTTGTGCTTATTCCTTCAGCCAAAGAGCAGTGAAATTGCTGAAGCAACTGCACAGATGGCAGAAGTTTGCCACTTCTGCAGAGGTAAAGAATACATTATGCTTCTTTACATTTCACCACACTGTACTGCCAAAAGGCAAAAAGATGCCTGCCACCCATCAGTGAAAACAACAGCTCTGTCCTCACCCTGTCCCAGCTTCCTGCAAGGAGTGGGACAAATTTTACATCAAGTTTGAAAGATGCATTAGCTTGTGTTTACAAAAGAAGAGAATTTAACTCCCTTTTAGGGTGTTATCAAGGTTATTATGTGTGTTCAGCATCTTACAAGGATGTATTCACACCACAATCTGGAGCATTGGAACAGCTGCCTCTGCATGAAGGAGAAAATTTTTCTAATTAAGAACAGTATACCTAAGGTAAAGAAATCTGTTCTGCTATTCTCTTTACTTCTCTCTTTTTCTGAACTGCCTGAGTGGGACAGAACATCCACAAGAAAGTGCCACTGAACTTTCCTGAAATATTTTCCTTATATATTATTTCTTATATATTTTATCTTCTTTTACACAATGCTCAGTAGACAGAATTTTATATGCCCACAACTCCAGAATAATATACATAGTAAAAGTCTTCCAGAAGACCACCACACAGAAAATCTCATGTCACTTTTTGCTTGTTTGCTGATCACACAAGAAATGGAGTTTGATTATAGATATTCAAGTTATAATTCCTCACTGTAAAATAACTCACTTATCAGTATCATATATGATATATATTACACATATTTTATGACTTTATACAAAGAGCACATACAGAGCACACATCAACAAATGTGCAAATCATACCTTGCTGATACGATTTATGGCTCATACTTACAGGTCGTCAAAACAACACAAATCGTACATTAGAGAAATAATTTCTCTGTCACTAATTCGGAAGAACAATGGCCAAAAACAGGTCCTGTGACATACTAATTTGTAAAATCATCCATCCATTTGTATGCTGAGTTGAATCAGTATCTTCATCATTTCAAAAAATTCCACAAGCAACTATTATATAATATTACAGCCACGTAACACTTTTTTTTCAATCTAATGTTAAAGAAGCACTCTCTACACTCATAAGTAAATGGATTCTGAGGACAACACTGTCTTCCACAATGTTAAGTGTTAAAAACATGTATACAAACCATCAACATACACTTTCAGCAATAATAATGAGATCTAATACTAATGCTTCAAATTCTATACCCTTCTGTATTCCCACCTGCATACATCCACCTTCTATATCCCCACTCTGCTCTGAAGTTCAAGTGAAGTCCAAGGTAATCTGTACTATTTCCATAAGACTTATTCCTAAATATGCTTCTGTCTGCATACTAAACATAAAATACACATATACACAAACACAAAACACAACAACAAAACACAAGCATTGAAGTATAGTATGAAAGCTTTCAACTGTCAGAATAAGTTCACTTTGATAAAATCAGCTAATTAATTTACAAATGAATCTGTGAGAAGCTTGCAAAACAACAGGCCACAGTATACAACAGATAAGCTGAAGAGTCATGGCTACCTTTTTCTCCAGAAAGACTTTAATAATTCTTTTCATTGCTATCAGGGATATAAAAATATCTCATGCTCCTACTACAGTACAGGCAACTATATTCTTTCACAAAGGAAAAAAAAAGGCATTTCAGAAACCATGTGCTTGTGCATGATGCTTTTCTGTGTATCCATTACTCCGCAGAGTGATGATATTCAGAATTCATCCTTCAGAATTTACTATGTTATGCAGGATTTCCTTCTTCCCACTTGAGAGATCACCCAACCACATGCAAGAGTGAGGCAACTACATACACATGTGGGGAGGAAACAAGGGATATTGGTGTAATAATGATAAACTTTTAAATAGTATAAAATATAATTAAGAAAAAAGACAGTGCTGTATTTCAAAAAATAAATGAATGGAAAATGATTTCTAGATGGAAATCAATCAAATGCTGCTTTAATGCAAAATATTATTATTTTCACAGAGATATAAAAATGCTCCACAAATCCTGGTTAAAGCACACATGCACAACAAATAATTGGGAAGTAGGAAACACCATATGAAAAAATTTCCTAACTGAAATATTAACAATATTTCAACTCTCACATTGCAACCAAACTATATTTTAATAATCTCAATTTAAAAGTATTTGACAAAGAGTCTTGGTCAAGCAAACTATGCTAAGCTTATACATGGTTGTCAAGTCAAAAATATTTTTATTTTATAAAAGCTCTCAAACTTGTTTTAAAACTACTGCCAGTTCTTTTTTTTTTTCTTTTCATTGTGATATCATGCTGAAAGCTGGAACAATTTATAATGGATTTTGATGATCCCTGTTGATATGCACGAGGAACTGTAAAAAGAAAAACCTCTTGATGTCTTTGTACTTAGAATTTGCCATTAACAATTCAGAACCCTGAAAGTAAGAGAAATATTGGTTCCATTTTTTGGTGAAAAAAGTAGTTCCTTTACACTTTTCTATCACCGCAAGTATGATAAAGTGCCTATGTACAGAGGGACTCGAGATAGGGGGCAGCATCTGAAGGAATAGCTTATATCCTTGCAGGCACAAAATGTATCGCTTTGCAGGCACAAAATATGTTCCTGTCTCAACTCATATACTGAAAACATACCAAGTTTCACACTTTCATTTCACTTGTTCCTAGTTGACTATTAAGAAATAAAAAAATCTTTCATGTCTCAACAAGTAGCAGCTAGTCACTATGCTCTATTTAAATTATATATTTAGATATAATTTATATATTTATATAAGATAAATGATCTTCTGAGAAGAATTAGGTCTGCACTAGAAAGTGCTGTTTTACAATTCTTCACACTACAGGATTAAAAAATTCTCGAACATATACTAAATCCATGGTATCTAATTTGGTAAGTAACCTAGCACTGTTTGGAAAGTTTTTATATTTTATTTTTCATTATTTCAGTTTACGAACAGCCCTTGATGACCTGATTATCACCATCACAGTTCACTTAAATACATAAGACCGTGAATGAGCAATAATGATGCTACTAAACCACAAACAGCTAATGGTTGCACAGAGACTAACCAGTATCCAAAAATGTGAGTTAGGAGATAGTGGTTGGGAGAGTTTCAATAGCTGTGAAGAATTGCTTTAGGCATATCTGTTAAAAAAGAAAAGTATTTAAATTAAAAAGCTAATAAAGAATAGAAGTTATTATTCAGTTTTATAAGGTCATTAACACCAAAAGAGGATAGAGAAGAGGGAGAGTAGGAAGAGAGGGATTAGCAAAAGCAGTCAAGGAACCAGGATAGTTTTTTGAATATTCAGTAATTGTAAATACATTCCCATTCTCTAAAAGATGAAAGTTCACCAAAGACATATAAGTAGGAGAGGGTGATGAGCATAAACTGCAGATCCAGCAGAGCAGTATTAGTTTAATCTCATGGCCATGTGAAAATGAGTGAAAAATTACCTTTGCACAAGACAGAGTTTATCTGACATTTAATAGCTCGGTGATTCTATAACTACTCCCTTACTGATTCTGTAATTACTCCGAATATTTTTTTCTTAATCTGAGATTTTGTGCACAGCAAGAATCTATTCAGTAAGTGAAAATAACACCACTCATTTAGCCACCACAGACAGGGACCACATGGCTACTTTCTCAGTATTACTTGTATTCCACATTTACCAAAAAAAAAAAAGCATTAAGTAATTAAGTATTGCTAAATTATTATCCTTATACAGAAGATAATCACAGAATCACAGAACATCACAGAATTGGTTGAGGTTGGAAGGGACCTCTAGAGATCATCTAGTCCAACCCCCCCTGCTCCAGCAGGGACACCTACCGCACTAGCCCAATGCTACTTTAATGCTGCCCTACCCTAATTCTACCCTAGGCCTACCTACCCATGTCCCTGCCTCCACCCTCCCCTTTACTCTACCCCACCTGCTACCTTCCACCCTCCCCTCTTCTCTACCTTCTACCTCCATGCTACCTTCTACTCTACACTCACCCTCACCTCCATCCTCCCCTCCACTCTCCACACCTCCCGCCTTCCACCCTCCCCTCTTCTCTACACTACCCCTGCTTTTCCCCCTAC